TATAAATACGGCGGATGGGACAACGGACGATATCGGTTTATTGTTGGTATTTAGCGATTCGCAGAGGGGATGATAATGCGCCCTCGTGCACCCCAACTGAAAACTTCTACAACCATATGGAATGTTAATCGTGTTCGAAATTTGAACCGGAGTTCGGGGTATTACACTATATGTGTCTCCGTGATGATGGAATCGTTGCGTAATTTCAGCTTCTCCACCCACCGTAATAATATTTAATCGACTTCCCGGCAGCTCCATAAAATACGTCCGAGCGAATTGCGTAAAAACATAACGACAAAATAAAAGTCATTATCGGAGTGTGTTTTTCAATAATTGCCCTCCTGGCACTACCGAGAGCGCCAAGATAAACTTTCTCGAAAACAAATAATAAATTGCGGTCCGGTCCGAAACTCCTCGCTTCGTGTTTAGTTACATCGCTACAAATAAAAGTCGTTCTTTGAAGTTGATATTCTCGGCTATTACCTCCACCTGCTTGTTTTTTCCTAAGACCGTCGTCGTATAAATCGCGCGAGGGAAGTTCGGGGCAGACAAACAACCCTGTCGGTAAGAGGGGCGCACTAAAAATAGATTCTGCTGCATGTGCAGTTTCCAGAGATCATAAAACGAAAGAGGGAAAATCGCATTCGTCTTCGTCAAGATCGAAATAAAAACAATAAAGTGGACCGAAGCGCCGTCTGGCGCAGGAGCCAGCTGTTTCCACAATTAAGAATTTATACGCCGAGAACTAGACTGTTTTGCATACTAATAAAATTTTGCGGCCTATAGTCGGCGCTGACAATGCTCGAAAAACTCCCTGGTAAAGCGTCAGCTATGAGCTACAATAAGATACTCATGCACGTGTGATCTATGAATCCGTGTTAAGTTTTCACCATTCAGATTTTTGGAAAAAAAGATCAAAATTTTGTTCCAAAATCTTACAAACGTGTTAAGGGTAATTTTTTTTGTTTATCCTCTCCCAAAAAATGTATGTCTTCATCTCACAATCTTGCTTAATATCAGTGCACTCATAGTTTTTAGAATTACTTATACAGGGTGACTCAAAAAATTAATGAACGAAGCAGTTTATTGTATTGATTAAATCAAAAACGACTCACTCCATTTTCCCGAAAATATGGGAATAGGGCATTGTTATTATTAGTATTACACTGCATGTCTTCAAATTGACATTCGAGTCTTTGCAAAAATGGTGATGAATTCGTCAAAATTGTAAAGTCGAAAAACTGTAACATTGAAAAATCGAAAAATTGAAGAATTAAATAACGAGAAATTGAAAATTTAAAAATAGAAGAATTACAAATCGAAAAATTAAAAATGCAGATCGAAAACATGAAGAAATGAAAAATTGAAAACTCATAAAATTGCAAATCGAAAACTTCAAAACATAAAAACTGAGAATGCCGAGTTGGAAAATCGAAAAAATGAAAAATTTAAAAGTGATAACTCGAAAAGTTGCATGTCGTAAAATTGAAGAAAGAAAAAAGAAATCAAAAATTGAAAAATAGTAAATCGAAAAATTAAAGAACCCAGAAATTGAAAAAAAATTAAATTCAAAGAAAAACAAGAAATTATAAAATCAGAACGTCCAAAAATCGAAAATCTGAAGAAATTCTAAGATCGTAAAATTGAAAAAAAAATTATTATTACATATTTATGAAAGCTAGAAAAATTACAAATCAAACATTGAAGAAACGAAAAACTGAAAAATCATCAAACTGAAAAACAAAAAATCTAAGTGTTAAAAAATCGAAAAATTGAAAACCCAAAAATTTCAAATCGAAAAATTGAAGACATGAAAAATTGCAAGTCTAAAAATTGAAACATCCAAAAGTTGCATAGAAGAGTTGAGAAACAAAGAAAAAATGAAAGATTGAAAAATTGCAAATCGAAAAAACTGAAATTGAAAAATAAAAAATTATAAAGTGGGAACATTGAATATCGAAAAATTGTAAAAATAAAGAAAATACCACAAGAACGAAAAGTTGTAAATCGAGAATTTGAAGAAAGGAAAAACGGAAAATTAAAAATCGAAAACTTGACAAATTTCAAATCGAAAAATTGAAGAAACAGGAAAAATGAAAAATTCCAAAATGCAGTGAGTAATTAAAAAACTAATGAAAATAAAAAGCCGAAATCAAAAGTTGCAAATCGAGAATTTGAAGAAATGATTAATGAAAGAAGCGAAAAATTGAAAAATTAAAAATTGAAGAAACAAGAAAAATGAAAAATTCAAAAATCGAAACATCGAAAAAACAATTGAGTAATTAAAAAAATTATGAAAATTACAAACGAATCGAAAAGTTGCAAATCGAACAACTGAAAACTCGAAAATTTGCAAATCGAAAATCTGAAGAATAAAAAAAAAAATAAAAAATTGAAGGACTGAAAAATTTGCCTTTTTTTACTTGAATTTTTCAGTTCTTCAATTTATCATTTTATACTTTTTCGTTTTTTCATTTTTGATTTTTACACTTTCATAGTTTTGGAATGTTTCCATTTTTTTTATTCGAAAAGTTGAAGAATCAAAACACTAAAAATTCGGAAAAAATTGAAAAACTGAAAAAATGAAAAACTTCAAAATCGGAAAAGTGGAAAATCGAAAACTGCAAATCGAAGACACGAAAAATTGGAAATCTCAAAAATTGTATAATCGTTAAAGTTGTAAAGTCAAAAAATCGTAATATTGAAATTTTCAAAAATTGAAAAATTAAATAACCAGCATTTGAAAAGTTAAAAACAGAAAATTACAAATCGAAAAATTGAAAACTCAAAATTAAAATTTTTAAAATGTAATAATTGAAAAATAGAAAAATTCTAAGATGGTAAAATTGAAAACCTGAAAAATTTATTGTATTTGAAAAATTTAAGAAATAAGGGAGGAACAACAAATTGCAAATCGAAAATTCCAAAATCTAAAAATTGAAACATCCAAGAGTTGGCTAATCGAAAAACTGAAAACCCCATGTCGTAAAATTGAAGAAACAAAAAAAAATCAAAACCTGTAAAATTGCAAATCGAAAAATTAAAGAAACGAGAAATTGGAGAAATTGAAATTGAAGGAAAAAGAAGAAATTATAAAATCAGAACCCTCAAAAAGCGAAGATCTGAAGAAATTCTAAGATCGTAAAGTCGAAAAAATAAAAAAAAATAAATTATTATTATCGCATATAAAATAAAACTAAATAATAAATTGCAAATAAAAAATTCAAGAAACGAAAAACTGAAAAATCATGAAACTGAAAAATCTAAAGCTGAAAAAACAAAATAATTAAAAAATCCAAAAGTTGAAAAATCGAAAAAATGAAAATCTACAAATCTCAAATCGAAAAATTGAAGACATGAAAAATTGCAAGTCTAAAAAGTGAAACATCCAAAAGTTGCATCGAAGAGTTGAGAAACAAAAAAAATGAAAGATTGAAAAATTGCAAATTGAAAAATTGAAAAAACTGAAACTGAAAAATAAAAAATTATAAAATGGAAACATTGAAAATCGAAAAATTGTAAAAATAGAGAAAATAAAACACCAAAACGAAAAGTGGTAAATCGAGAATTTAAAGAAACGAAAAACGGAAGATTAAAAATTGAAAACTTGAGAAATTTCAAATCGAAAAATTGAAGAAACAGGAAAAATGAAAAATTCAAAAATTGCAAACCAAAGAATTGAAAAACAAAAATTGAAAAAATAAAAAATACTAAAATCGAAACATCAAAAAAACAAATGAGTAATTAAAAAAATTATGAAAATTACAAACGAATCGAAAAGTTGCAAATCGAAAATCTGAAGAATAAAAAAAAATTAAAAATTGAAGAACTGAAAAATTTGCCTGTTTTTGCTTGAATTTTTCAGTTCTTCAATTTTTCATTTTATACTTTTTCGTTTTTTCATTTTTGATTTCATAGTTTTGGAATGTTTCCATTTTTTTATTCGAAAAGTTGAAGAATCAAAACACTCAAAATTCGGAAGAAATTGAAAAACTGAAAAAATGAAAAACTGCAAAATCGGAAAAGTTTAAATCTCAAAAATTGTATAATCGAAAAATTATAGAATCGTCAAAATTGTAAAGTCAAAAAACCGTAATATTGAAAATTTCAAAAATTGAAAAATTAAAAACCAGCATTTAAAAAATTAAAAATAGAAAAATTACAAATCGGAAAATTGAAAACTCAAATTTGAAAGTTTTAAAATGTAATAATTGAAAAATAGAAAAATTCAAAAATGGTAAAATTGAAAACCTGAAAAATTTGTTGTATTTGAAAAAATGAAGAAATAAGGGAGGAACAACAAATTGCAAATCGAAAATTCCAAAATCTAAAAATTGGAACATCCAAGAGTGAAAAATTAAAAAATGAAAACCTGTCGTAAAATTGAAGAAACAAAAAAAATCAAAACCTGTAAAATTGCAAATCGAAAAATTAAAGAAACGAGAAATTGAAATTGAAGGAAAAAGAAGAAATTATAGAATCAGAACCCTCAAAAATCGAATATCTAAAGAAATTCTAAGATCGTAAAATTGAAAAAATAATTGCAAATCAAAAATTGAAGAAATGAAAAACTGAAAAAACAAAAAATTAAAAAATCCAAAAGTTGAAAAATCGAAAAATGAAAACCCACAAATTTCAAATCGAAAAATTGAAGACATGAAAAATTGCAAGCCAAAAAATTGCAGAATCTAAAAACTGAAACATCCAAAAGTTGAAAATCCTGAAATATTTTAAAAAGAACAGAAACGAAAAATTGCAAATCGAAAAACTAACGAAAAACAAATGAAAAACAGAAGATTTGAAAAGTTCAATTAAAAAATTCTGCGACTGGTTTTTACTTTATAGAGGTTATAAGAAAACAAAAATCTCAAATTTTTTTATAATTTCGACCAATTTTTGAAACATGGCAATCGTAAGCTTTCATATTGTGCCCATAACTATTTTCCTAGAATTTTTTGGCACCGCGGCCTTGTTCACCGTTTGACGACTATGTATCTCACCTCGCTGTCGTTGCTGTGTAATTTGAGCAAGTATCCGGGCAGGAGGTCCTTCCTCCTGTTGACGTCCTCCAGGGCGAGGTTGGCGGCGGGCATGCAGGCCTGCCCCCCCTGCCATCCGCCCTTGCCGTTGATGGGAAAGATGCCGCCGATGTGCAGGACATTGCTATCGTCGGACGGGAGTGACACGCTCAAACACACGTGGAAAACTATTGCCGCGCCGATCCATTGTGGCCAGTACTAGAACAACAAGAGCTCGTTGAAACGCTACAGCTAAATTACACACAAATATTTTCATAACAATATCGCAGGAAATGCCGCTCGGAAATTAATACGTACAAAGGGGGTTTTAGGAGCGCCTCGAACAGACAACGACAAAATTGCCGCATGCTGGAGGGGCCATAAAAGTGATCAACTAGCTATCTAATGGCCGTTTTGGCAATTTATGACTGACGTCATGCACTTTACGTTTACTTTACTACGTAGTGAGAGGAAGTCGGGGAGGGGCTGCCTTTTATGGATGCAGGTACGGCAGATACTCGGGGGCGCTTGTCATTCTTCGGATGACAATGGATTCGTGCAGTCGGTATTAAACCTTTTCGTGGTTTGATTGCCGGCAATCGATTTACGACTCAGATAACAAACATCCACTTGCCGAGGAAATCTTTATTTGAGCAATTCCCTTGATTTGTGCCGGTTGCGAGTGCAAACGTAAAAACGCCACTCCGACAGCATTAACTTGTCATAAATACAGTCAAACGGCGACGAATTTCTAGCACTTTGACAGCTAATTAATGAAGCCACTGATATTATCCTCGTAATAGCCCAACTTTATAATCTCTTGTAGACTTGCAAATCTTATTCGATTTACTAATTCACTTTGCTATGAATATTCTAGTAGTGCTGAGCTAGAGATCCCGAAATTGCGCCATTCTACTCGACTCCGGGGCATCCTTATTACGTAAGTGGCCATTTTATACTAAAACTAATCTCGACAGACGATTTTTTACCTAACGTCTTAATTAATCCCGTGAATAGCGACGGGATAAAAGCCCCGAAGATGGCTGGTTAATCAGATAAAGAGTCCGGGATAGACGAATCGCGTCGATTTCCATCCCACCGACTGCGCCATTTATGCAACACTCGTACAGAAAACCGGAACCGAAGCTCGCGTTGAACAAATAAACCGCAGATCATTATACACAAGTACGATATTCCTCCAGGGTGCAGCGAACTTCCCCGTTTCCGCGCGCACCATCCAGCGAACCTGTTGAATATTCCCGTTCCGAATTACGGGATTAACGGGCTTCCAATCCAAAAAGTGCGACTGAATAATTGTCCACAGCTCCTCGATGCACGTTAACGGCGGCGTTCCTGCGCGCTATCGAGAATTCCCGTGAAAAATTCATTATTCTCCATAAAATTTTTAGCGCACGTCCTGGGAGTGCTTCTGGAGTATCGGCCCGCGTCCACCCGGAGAGACCATCCAATTGGAATTATTGATGTTTTCACGGGAAAAATAACGTCGGCAGTCTCATTTCGGGAAAGTTTGGTCGATCGTGGCAAAAACTTGGAGAATTACTCTCGGGCTCGGGAAAAAATTACCCTATGCACAAACTTCCGACACGTTCACCCTCTTACGGTTATTTTTATTGCACGCGTCGTTCTATTGTTCCCATTCGAATAAAAATCAATTCGGCATAAGGAGGCGGCAAAAAGTGGCGTTTTCGGGTGGGGGTTTTGCACTAACTGTCACGAAGATGATGTTTTCGTGTTATCGGAATCCCACCGACTGCGCCGTTCGGGGTGGATTTCGCAATTAGGATCGAATGATGGATTGGTCGGAGTCGATCTGGTTGATAGACGCTAATTTCGGCGTGCTCTGTGAATCAACGTCGGGATTATATTAAGTCAGCTTTAGTGCGACCAACATGTAATTATATGACGATGGGAAGATCTGGTGCAGGCTTAATAGTGTTACGTGTTGTAAGCTCGGAATATAATTGGGAATCTGACGGCGATCTTATCATGTGCCGAGCTAAACGAGGACCGCAAACACCGGCTTTGGGGCGTTTTTCCGTCAGCTTTCAGCTTGCGGTTTTTAGTCACACCAGTTATTAAAATAATACCGTTCCTTAACGAAAACAAATAATAATAATCCCTCCTTTGTAAGTACGGCTCCCGGCCGGCCGAATTCACGCATGTTTTCCCCTTCAAAGGCTCCTCTACGATATTAGTTCTTGAATACTTTATACAATATAACCACTTAGATCCGCGGAAGTTAAAAGAAAGGCAGCCGAGGGAAAGAATCCATTCCCGTCGGCCAGGAGCGGTTTAAAAAGCGCCCTCGCGCTATCGATTATGAGAAGTCGACGAGAAGTTATTTGCAAGTCTTGTGAAATTCAAACAGCAAACCTTTGCTTTGATACGCATTTCAAAGGAATTCCATTCAACCACATGACATTTTTCAACTGATTGACAATCCGCGTTCGGATATCGGCGAGGGTCTATTTGCCGACGAGGAGAGATTTTCGAGAGTAGGCTCTTGATCGCCGGACCGGCAAATTTTACCTGGATGAGGAGGAAATGCACCTTGGAGGTCGTCTGGAAATTAATTAGGTCGATTGGGAGGTGGACAGGTGTTTGTGGTTTTGGCAAGGAGCTTGCGGTAATTATAATAATAACAGTAATAACCTTTATTTTCCAACAAGTTGGACTGAATTACAGGGAAAAGTGTAACAAAATGCGTGCAGTCAACAACTAATTAACAATTACAAGAAAATAACATAGTAGTAAGTATTTATAACTAAAAATAATAAATTTTCTAAGATGTGAGAGATAAATATGTTTTTTATGGAGTAATATCACGATTTTTGATATTTATATTGTACAAAAAAAAGTTAAAAATGTGCGAGAGTTTAATCGTGGAATGGTGAAGTTAATTTGAAGCAGAAAGTTGAATACAGTCAATTTTGTTATTCAAACGCTTAATTAAAAAATTAATTAGATTAAAAATACGACGAATACTTATTTAAACAAATGGAACTAAACCTAAGTAACAGCAAATTATAATCGCATCCTTGTTGATAATAAACCCCATTTATTAAAAATACTAAATACTAAGTACTTAGATATTATACACCATATTGATATCTACTTTTAATTAGTGAACACTAAAGACAAAATGTTACTGTAGAACGAAAATTTTTATAATTTCTGTATAAGAATGACAGCAATTTTCGTTCGATTAAACCAATTCTAACCAGTTTTTTGGAAAATTGTTGAGAATTTTGAATTCACTTTTCGTGTTTGTAGGAACAGATATCGTGACGACGATTTCAGATTTATAATTGGCGGAAGATTATCTGCAATTTGACACCAATTTTCGGCTGATTGAACCGATTTTAACCATTTTTTGTAAAATTTTTTGAAAATTTTGAATTCAATTTTCGTGTTTATTGGAACAGATATCGTGATGGAGATTTCAGATTTCTAACTGGCGGAAGATTATCCACAATTTGACACCAATTTTCAGTCGATTGAACCAATTTTAACCATTTTTTTGGAAAATTTTGGACAATTTTCGAATCATATTTTACTTGTATTTCAATAGATGTGGTGAAGGCAATTTCAGATTTATAACTGGCGGAATATTCTCTACAATTTCACACCAATTTTCAATCCCTTGAACCAATTAGAACCATTTTATTTTGGAAAATTTTTGAAAATTTTGGAATCATATTTTACGTTTATTTCAATAGATACCGTGAGGGCGATTTCAGATTTACGATTGGTGGACGATTATCTACAATTTGACACTAATTTTTAGTCGATTGAACCAATTTTACCCATTTTTTGCACAATTTTTAAAAATTTTGGAATCATATATTTTTGCTATTTTTAACTTTTTTGTTATACTATCTGCTATAAGATTTATTTCTCATTTCACATGAAATAAATGAGAGAACGGGTGGGTGGGCGGGGCTAAGTTTAAGTTTTTCATACAGAATCTTTTATCAGCAAGCAATGGCGATTTCAGATTTGTAACTGATGGAAGATGATCTACAATTTGACACCAATTTTCGGCCGATTGAACCGATTTTAACCATTTTTTGTAAAATTTTTTGAAAATTTTGAATTCAATTTTCGTGTTTATTGGAACGTATATCGTGACGGAGATTCCAGATTTCTAACTGGCGGAAGACTATCTACAATTTGACACCAATTGCCGGTCGATTGAACCAGTTTGAACCATTTTATTAAAAAAATGTTTGAAAATGTTCGAATCATATTTTACTTTTATTTCAATAGACCGTGTAGACGATTGCAGATTTATAGTTGGCAAAAGACTATCTACAATCCGACACCAATTTTCAGTCGATTGAATAAATTAGAACCATTTTTTTGAAAAATGTTTGAAAATTTTTAATTCACGTTTCCTGTTTATTGGAATGGATATCGTGGAGGCGATTTCTGCTTTGTAACTGGGGAAAGATTATCTACAATTTGACATTAATTTTCGGTCGATTGAACCAATTCTAATCACTTTTTTCGATAATTTTTGAAAATTTTATAATCATATTTTACTTTTATTTGAATAGATATCGTAAAAACGATTTCAGGTTTATAACTAGCGGAAGATTATCAACAATCTGACAACAATTTCCAGTCGGTTGAACCAATTTTAACAATTTTTTTTTGAAATTTTTGGACAATTTTCGAATCATATTTTACTTGTATTTCAATAGATGTGGTGAAGGCAATTTCAGATTTATAACTGGCGGAATATTATCTACAATTTCACACAAATTTTCAATCCTTTGAACCAATTATAACCATTTAATTTTGGAAAATTTTTGAAAATTTTAGAATCATATTTTACTTTTATGTCAATAGATACCGTGAAAGCGATTTCAGATTTATAATTAGCGGACGATTATCTACAATTTGACACCAATTTTTAGTCACTTGAACCAATTTTACCGAGTTTTTGGAACATTTTTTGAAAATTTTGAATTCAATTGTCCTGTTTATTGGAATAGATATCGTGATGGTGATTTCAGATTTCTACCTGGTGGAAGATTATCTACAATTTGACACCAATTTTCGGTCGATTGAACCAATTTGAACCATTTTATTAAAAAAAAAAAATTGAAAGTGTTCGAATCATATTTTACTTTTATTTCAATAGACACCGTGAAGACGATTTCAGATTTATAGTTGGCAGAAGATTATCTACAATCCGACACCAATTTTCAGTCGATTGAATAAATTAGAATAATTTTTTTGAAAAGTGTTTGAAAATTTTTTATTTAGTTTTCGTGTTTATCGGAATGGATATTGTGAAGGCGATTTCAGCTTTGTAACTGGCGAAAGATCTAGAGTTTGACACAAATTTTCAGTCGATTGAACCAATTTTACCCTTTTTTTTTGGATATTTTTTTTAATTTTGAAATAATATTTTACTTTTATATCAATAGATATCGTGAATGCGATTTCAAATTTATAATAACTGTCGGAAGATTATTTACAATTTGACACCAATTTTCGGTCGATTGAACCAATTTTAAGCACTTTTTTCGATAATTTTTGAAAATTTTATAATCATATTTTTCTTTTATTTGAATAGATATCGCAAAAGCGATTTCAGCTTTATAACTGGCAGAAGATTATCAACAATTTGACATCAATTTTCAGTCGGTTGAACCAATTTTAACCATTTTTTTTTGGAACATTTTGGACAATTTTCGAATCATATTTTAGATTTTTAGATGTGGTGAAGGCAATTCAGATTTATAACTGGCGGAATATTATCTACAATTTCACACAAATTTTCAGTCCTTTGAACCAATTATAACCATTTAATTTTGGAAAATTTTTGAAAATTTTGGAATCTTATTTTACTTTTATGTCAATAGATACCGTGAAGGCGATTTCAGATTTATAATTAGCGGACGATTATCTACAATTTGACTCAAATTTTTAGTCACTTGAACCAATTTTATCCATTTTTTGGAACATTTTTTGAAAATTTTGATTCAATTTTCGTGTTTATTGGAATAGATATCGTGACGGCGATTTCAGATTTCTAACTGGTAGAAGATTATCTACAATTTGACACCAATTTTCGGTCGATTGAACAAATTTTAATCACTTTTTTGGATAATTTTTGAAAATTTTATAATCATATTTTACTTTTATTTTAATAGATATCGTGAAGGCGATTTCAGATTTATAACTGGCGGAAGATTATCGACAATTTGACACCAATTTTCAGTCGATTGAACCTATTTTAATAATTTTTTTGGAAAATTTTGGACAATTTTCGAATAATATTTTACTTGTATTTCAATAGATGTGGTGAAGGCAATTTTAGATTTATAAGTGGCGGAATATTATCTACAATTTCACACCAATTTTTAATCCCTTGAACCAATTACGAGTATAACCATTTTATTTTGGAAAATTTTTGAACATTTTGGAATCATATTTTACTTTTATTTCAATAGATACCGTGAAGGCGATTTCAGATTTATAATTAGCGGACGATTATCTACAATTTGACACCAATTTTTAGTCACTTGAACCAATTTTACCCATTTTTTGGAACATTTTTTGATAATTTTGAATTCAATTTTCGTGTTTATTGGAATAGATATCGTGACGGCGATTTCAGATTTCTAACTGGTGGAAGATTATCTACAATTTGACACCAATTTTCGGTCGATTGAACCAATTTGAACCATTTTATTCAAAAAAAAAAAAAAAAAATTGAAAGTGTTCGAATCATATTTTACTTTTATTTCAATAGACACCGTGAAGACGATTTCAGATTTATAGTTGGCAGAAGATTATCTACAATCCGACACCAATTTTCAGTCGATTGAATAAATTAGAACCATTTTTTTGAAAAGTGTTTGAAAATTTTTAATTCAGTTTTCGTGTTTATTGGAATGGATATTGTGAAGGCGATTTCAGCTTTGTAACTGGCGAAAGATCGAGAGTTTGACACAAATTTTCAGTCGATTGAACCAATTTTAACCTTTTTTTTGGATTTTTTTTTTAATTTTGAAATAATATTTTACTTTTATATCAATAGATATCGTGAAGGCGATTTCAGATTTATAATAAATGTCGGAAGATTATTTGCAATTTGAAACCAATTTTCGGTCGATTGAACAAATTTTAATCACTTTTTTGGATAATTTTTGAAAATTTAATAATCATATTTTACTCTTATTTTAATAGATATCGTGAAGGCGATTTCAGGTTTATAACTGGCGGAAGATTATCAACAATTTGACACCAATTTTCAGTCGATTGAACCAATTTTAATCATTTTTTTGGAAAACTTTGGACAATTTTCGAATCATATTTTACTTGTATTTCAATAGATGTGGTGCAGGCAATTTTAGATCTATAACTGGTGGAATATTATCTACAATTTCACACCAATTTTTAATCCCTTGAACCAATTACGAGTATAACCATTTTATTTTGGAAAATTTTTGAAAATTTTGGAATCATGGTTTACTTTTATTTCAATAGGCACCGTGAAGGTGATTTCAGATTTATAATTGGCGCACGATTATCTACAATTTGACATCAATTTTTAGTCGATTGAACCAATTTTACCCATTTTTTTGCACAATTTTTAAAAATTTTGGAATCAAATATTTTTGCTAATCGTAAGTTTTTTGTTATACTATTTGTTATAAGATATTATTTCTCATTTCACATGAAATAAATGAGAGAACGGGTGGGTGGGCAGGACTAAGTTTAACTTTTTCATACAGAATCTTTTATCAGCAAGCAATGGCGATTTCAGATTTGTAACTGATGGAAGATGATCTACAATTTGACACCAATTTTCGGCCGATTGAACCGATTTTAACCATTTTTTGTAAATTTTTTTGAAAATTTTGAATTCAATTTTCGTGCTTATTGGAACGGATATCGTGACGGAGATTTCAGATTTCTAACTGGTGGAAGATTATCTACAATTTGACACCAATTTTCGGTCGATTGAACCAATTTGAACCATTTTATTTAAAAAAAAAAAATTGAAAATGTTCGAATCATATTTTACTTTTATTTCAATAGACACCGTGAAGACGATTTCAGATTTATAGTTGGCAGAAGATTATCAACAATCCGACACCAATTTTCAGTCGATTGAATAAATCAGAACCATTTTTTTGAAAAATGTTTGAAAATTTTTAATTCAGTTTTCGTGTTTATTGGAATGGATATCGTGAGGCGATTTCAGCTTTGTAACTGGCGAAAGATTATCTATAATTTGACACAAATTTTCAGTCGATTTTTTGGATTTTTGTTTAAATCTTGAAATAATATTTTACTTTTATATCAATAGGCGTCGTGAAGGCGATTTCAAATTTATAATAACTGTCGGAAGATTTTCTACAATTTGACACCAATTTTCGGTCGATTGAACAAATTTTAATCACTTTTTTGGATAATTTTTGAAAATTTTATAATCATATTTTACTTTTATTTTAATAGATATCGTAAAGGCGATTTCAGGTTTATAACTGGCGGAAGATTATCAACAATTTGACATCAATTTTCAGTCGGTTGAACCAATTTTAACCATTTTTTTTTAAATTTTGGACAATTTTCGAATCATATTTTACTTGTATTTCAATAAATGTGGTGAAGGCAATTTCAGATTTATAACTGGCGGAATATTATCTACAATTTCGCACCAATTTTCAATCCCTTGAACCAATTATAACTATTTTATTTTGGAAAATTTTTGAAAATTTTGGAATCATATTTTACTTTTATTTCAATAGATACCGTGAAGGCGATTTCAGATTTATAATTGGCGAACGATTATCTACAATTTGACACCAATTTTTAGTCACTTGAACCAATTTTACCCATTTTTTTGCACAATTTTTAAAAATTTTGGAATCATATATTTTTGCTATTCGTAACTTTTTTGTTATACTATCTGCTATAAGATTTATTTCTCATTTCACATGAAATAAATGAGAGAAAGGGTGGGTGGGCGGGGCTAAGTTTAACTTTTTCCTAGGGAGTCTTTTATAAGCAAACAATGACAATTTTTGAAAATTTTGAATTCACTTTTCCTGTTTATTGCAACAGATATCGTGAAGGCGATTTCAGATTTATAACTGGTGGAAGATTATCTAGAATTTGACACCAATTTTCGGTCGATTGAACCAATTTGAACCATTTTATTAAAAAATTTTTTGAAAATGTTCGAATCATATTTTACTTTTATTTCAATAGACCGTGAAGACGATTGCAGATTTATAGTTGGCAGAAAATTATCTACAATCCGACACCAATTTTCAGTCGATTGAATAAATCAGAACCAATTTTTTGAAAAATGTTTGAAAATTTTTAATTCACTTTTCGTGTTTATTGGAATGGATATCGTGAAGGCGATTTCAGCTTTGTAACTGGCGAAAGATTACCTATAATTTGACATAAATTTTCAGTCGATTTTTTGGATTTTTGTTTAAATCTTGAAATAATATTTTAATTTTCAATTTTCGATCGATTGTTCTAATTTTAATCATTTTTCTGGATAGTTTTGAAAATTTTGCAGATTCCTTTAATATACAAAAATTTAAAATTTGATTATCTGTTATTTAATTGTGTATTTAGAAAGTTGTTTTTTTAGGGATTTGTGTTTTTCTAATTAGTTAAGTGTTTTGTCCGACAATATAGAATTTTTATATTGATTTAAATTTTTGAGTTTTTTTTTAATATTTCATAGAATGTAGAAACTTTAGAATCACTTCTTAGTGACTTTTGGGATCGACGACACCAAGTTTACCGAATAGAAACATTTTTAAATTTTCAGTATTAAAATCAGATTGGTGGCAGCGGTGTGATTCTTGTCATTTATAACACTGTTTGGAATCTTCTGCTAATTGGAGTAATCCAACAATAATACTGCTACTTCTTCTTTGATGGTCGATTACTTCATGGATACGCATAATATAAGTTTAGGAAATGAGATGCTAAATTTACACCTTTGCTTTTTAGCAAACGTTAACCGCAAAATATATTACTCCAAAGAAAAATTAAATTCCAATTAAATAATATACAGGTGAATATATCGACACTAGCTCTTTTAGCTGCTGCTTCCTTGGAATCTTTAAGCTCTTGCTCACCCAAATATTTTATGGAAAAAATCTGGTGTGGTAGTTTTCACTGTTGGTGCTGTGGTTTCTTCATTTCCAGTGGTCGTTGTAGACTCTGGATCAGGCTGTTCAGTGGTAGTTGTGGTCGTTGTTTCGTCTTTTTCTGTGGTAGATTCTTGTGCTGAACTCAAACCCAAATCCCACACCTCGCGAAAGTTCAATTTAGAAAATAAATCAAAATGACAGAAAATTTAATTACTTACCACAACCAACAACAAAATCGCCGCTATTCGCAATGCCATGGCTACTCTTGGTTTGATTTTTGTGTACCTTGGGTGGTTTTTATACTCGCCTTTATCGGCTAACCGTGGACTGAAGGACGCATAATTCACTAATATTAATGCACTTTTATTTGCTATTTTTTGACATTTACATATTGTTTATGCCACAAAACTAATAATTCGTATTTATTATCACTTGTGAATCATGAAAACGTACTTTTGTTAGTTTGCGTCGGAAATTCCTGGAAAATTTTGCGCAATTTTGCCTTAAAACCATCAAACTACAATTATGACCGTTTCCTTTACTTTATTCACATTTTTTATAAAATGGATCCAATCAAATTAGCAACAAATGTCCACAGTGAATTTTTACTCCCTTTTTTAATAATTGTCGTTGTTTCTACACTTCCATCATCCGAAGCTTCAGGACTAATTTTCGCCGGTTCTTCGTCTGGGTTCGATGGTTCTTCCGACTCTGGTTTTTCAGTGTTGTTTTCCTCTTCTGGTGGATCAGCAACCTTCGGATCTGTGTCTTCACCGGCCGACCATGAAGGCAAATCCGACACCTTCGGAATTTTCAGTTGAAGAAAAAACAACAACGGAATCTACTTACCAATGAAACGAAAAACAAAACTACCACCACTTCTTTCAGTGCCATTTCTTATTCTTGGTTTTTAATCGACCTGGTGCCTTTTATAGGCACCTTTTATCGCCAAAATGCTCATTGAATGACAAATCGAACGTTAATGTTTCTCTTTATTACCATCTTTATTAGTAATAAGAATGTTCGGTTTGAAATTGATTTTCACGACATAAAGATTTTATGTTTGTAAGGCGGCTCGTTGCTCGTTGAACACGGAAATGCAAGTTGTCGCTATTTAGAGGTCCGTGTCTGAAGTGTACTAAGTTTTTCAGTAGAGAATTTTCGAACTAGCGAACCGATCGCTTAGGCTTCTGGTATGTTAATTCCTAGTGAAATAATAATCTTTAATTGAAATCTTTTTACGCAGGAAAGAGATGCTTAATACGTGGTCATTCGGCAGCAATGATCTAAGAACTAATGGATGGAATGTTGAGGCGCGTAATACCGCTCGCATGCGGTGACAACTAGAGAGAGAAATAAACATATCTACAGTGAGTGTTGTTAGACAAGGCCAACACGCATCGGTAGGCAAGAACGAGCTTCGGTGCCGTTGAGTTAAATAGGAGATCATGTAAAAATAATTTTAAAATTCAACTTTATTGTCGTTTTTTTTTATTTTGTAGGAAACTGTAATACATACAATACAAAATGAATATAAACACACCATTTATTGATTTTTGAACAAAATTAATTTTGTGTATACCTGCCTGATTTTATTAGGAACTTGATTATTTCTGCTGTTTTCATAATTCAGTCTAATAATAAAAAAAGTACGTAAAATTACATAAACCAACTGCACTACATGATTGTTAAGTGGATCTTGATCTAAAATGTGGTCATTTAAGACATTAAACATATTTCTGAAATTTAGTAATCTAATGGTTTTAATTATAAGAATATTAATAACATTCCCTGAAATATTATATTTCATAGTTCTGAAAGTGGTTTCAGCTATCTTACAAACTTTGACAACATCAACTGATGGCTTTGTAAGTCCACCTCTATTTTTTAAATTTAGCAGTGCCGAAAAGGACTCATTATTAGTCAAAGCAGATGAACAAATTTTACAATCCAATGCTCGTAATAATCTTCGTACGACGAAGCCAGCTATATATTCCACAACATCAGTTATGTATGAAGAGAAGGAAAAATTTAGGAATGGTTCTTGCTCATCAACTTCATGGATATCATTCTCGTTCAGTATTCCGTCTATAACATTTTCTAGTTCAACTTTTTTTGAGGCACTAGTAATTTTTAGAATGCTAGTGTCGTCCTGAGCTAGGCAATTTGCTGCCTCGGAGCTTTTTAATTCAGTGTGAACTAAAAGTTTCTTGTAAGCTGCTTGGAACTGAATGGCTGTAGGATTGTTTGTAAATCCACCTCTTGAACGTATATTGGAAAAAAATAATTCCAAGTGGTCTTGGCTTACTTTATAAGTTAAGAAATATTCTAAATTTGTTTTGTTTTGTACATGATAATTAAGTATTCCCTCGGTACTTTGCATGTTGACTAACAGTCCAATAAATCCCGTTTTTCTTCGACTATCCAACATTAAGCAATCATTCGCTGTTTTTATGGTTGAGATGTATTGTCTTGCTTCTTCGAAAAAGTTAAAGACAAATTCTGCGTTGCTTTTTGAAAGTGGTTTCTTATAATTCTGTTTGCTCAAAGCATTTCTAACATTAAGAATATCAAATAAATTGTTAATTATTCGACAGAATTTGGACGTATGTTCGGAATCATAAAACTCCGGCAACTTCAGTCCTTTATTACAATAGTCCAAAGCATCTGCCACGCTGTTACTAAATGTTTGGACAGCTAGTTTTACTTTCATGATATTTTTGGAATAATTTATATGTTCTTGCCTTAATTTTGTGCCAGCATGTAAACCAGAACTTTCTTGGAACGCTACTAAACTTTTGAAAAAACTCCATTTTATGTAATTATTGTTGTCATCTAAAAAATAACCCCAGTCACCAAGTGCATTTCTAAGGAGCTTTATGACGTGGCACATATCAATAAAAACGAATATGGGATCATGTGTTACAGGATTCTGAAAGTAGGATTTCAAATTATTTCGTGACAGATTTGCACCTAATTCTTTTGACATTGTCATATTAGCCGCAGCACCATCGAACGTTATGAAACCACGACAGCTCCAGTGCCATGTACTATTTCTATACTTTTATTAACCATATTGGACTTTTCTTTTCCCGACAAACCATTGATTAAGAAGTACGCAATCGGAATTTTCCACCTACTGTTAATGGCCACTAACAAAAATACCAAAGCATCTTTGGCTTCCGGTAGAGAATCAGTATCGATATTAGATGATTGAATACCCAAATCCACGTAGCCGACTTGACGCTGACCATTCCACTGAACATGTTTTTTAATTGCCATTTCGTCCATAATAAGACCGACTAAAAGTTTTTTATTTTCTTTAGCCATTTCATCTACTTTAAGTGTAATAGCTCGTAACGATTCTTGCGTATAACCTGGTGAACCATCTACGGCGCGATACCACTTTTGCAAAGTTTTAGGATGTGGTAAAGACTTGGCAAAAATATTCCGCACATAATTATATGCGGAACTGGAATAAAAGTTTAAAGTTAGTGCAAAAATACGCAGTTCTTCTGGAAATTGTCGAGTGGACGATAACTTCAATTGTTTTAGGAGCATTTGATGTTGGCTAGTAGGTAAGCAATCCTAAAAAAAAGATAGAAATTCAAAAGTTGTTCCAGCAAACAATAAAATTATAGCGTAAATCTGAAAATAATGTTTCTTCTAAAAAATGCAAGCATGGCTACTTTCCATTCTCTACATTACCTATCTATGAATTTTACCCAACAAACACTAAAAATAGCAGGTGTGTTTTAAATCTATACTTCTCTACCAACTAACTAGCAAAATTCAATAAATAAAAACCTGTAAAGCCGAAAAACAGTTGTCCGATATTTTGTTCGAGTGTTTTAAATGGTCTATCACATCTCTCATGGTATTAATTGTTTTCTTCAATCTATAACTTTGATTACGCAGATATTTGATCATAGCCCTTTGTTTTTTAATAAGTTTATGCGAAACATGCCAGTACAATTTTTGCTTTGACTGTAATTTCAGATCAGATTCTCGAAAATCTCCTAAACGCGCTGGTTCTCTTCTCCTTTGCTTCAATTTATCAGATCTATCATAACAGTCTTATTACTACTACAAATTAAAAAAAAGATTCTATTACTACCGTGAAGTGGATGGAGTAGCGTTCTCATTTTGGGTGGGTTTCGGTTCAGACGTGAAAGTTCTAATAAATTAAATTGAAATTAGTAAATGATTTATGAGAATATTTTTTGTAATTTTTTTCTTCATTTTTTATACCTTGTGCAAGAGTCGCTCGTGGTTAAATTTCTCTTAATCAGTTTTCTAGGTCTTGTTTCATTTTTTTTTAAATGTTTTGGAAAATTGAAAATGGATGGTACTGCGTCCTTTTTTAAAATTCTCAGTTGTTGTGTGGGATTAACAGAATTTGTTAACTGCCGAAAGTCCTCATTTTTAAAATGTTTGCTACACACTCTTGATGCAGACGTCGGAACAAATTTATCTCGTTTAAGTGCAACAATCCATTGCTTTCTTAGCAACAGATTAGTCGGAAAACTGAAATTAAATGAAATAAAGATTGTAAGAAAACATTATTCCGCAGATATCTCACCGATGAAATGAAATATTACAGCCTTTGTGATGCCGCTCCTCGCATCCAAATGCACAACAAGATGTAACCATCGTGAATATGATTGTTATTATTGCGATTGTAAGAAAACAAGCACTTTAGAACTGCACAGACACGCCACACACACTGGGAAGCGAATAATTAAAAGTAAATTTTAACTGGAAGTCGCTGTGTTTTGCCTACCGATTCGGACCTCTCAAATGGTCACCGTACCCTCTCTCTCTAACGTCTCTCCAGTCTGAGATCTCTATGTTCGGCAGCCTCTTATCGCTATTCCGGCGATAAATTTTATCGTTGTTCTAATTTTTATGACCATTAAACAATTGCTTAATGTTATGCTTCCATGGCGACGGTGACTATTCATAGTTGCTTTTTATTAGTAATTACCACCGGCAGTAACCATAAACAAAAAACTGCATGTTCATTATACGATAAAAAGTAATGAAAACTATGTTATTGTTCAGCTTTAGTGTGAATTGGTTTCAACCTTAGACAGGTAATTCTTCCAACACAATTACAATTATTTCAAAATTGTCGTTTTCTCGAGTTTCGTCGATTTTTTCGACTCGTTTTCTGTCAACAATTTATCTTCGGCCGCGTTATCAATCAATTCCATTTGACTCCGACATTTGAAAGCACCTGCAATTGGCATTTCGCCGATACATCTTTTTCCCTTTTACCTGTTTCTCGTCTCTCGAACACAATTTAACTT